CCTCGCGACTCGGCCATGGCCACCACAACAGGTACGATGTTGCTCACGATGTGCTTTAAAGGCTTTTCCCATTGGGCAATTTTTACTTCGTCCGCGTTGTAGGGGATACCATAGCGGTCGCAACTATCGTGCAGACGTGACTTGGCCCAGGCATACTTTGGAGTGTCGACAGGTAGGCATATATGGTATTTTGCGTTGTCCATGACAACAACGACGCTCCTTTTCCCCAGGGCTTCCAATTGGTCGTGCAACGTGCCAAACCAGTCAACGAATTATACATGGCTGAACATGGCGTGGTAGGCTTTAGGTTCTTTGCGTCGTATTCCCCCCTTGAAAAATGTTGAGGGCAAGTAGTTTTGAGTTGTCCACTTCGTCGTTTAGTGTAGCTCCAGTAAAGCAATATCGTTGTCCCTTGTGTATTGCTTTTACTTGCAGGTCTTGTTCGTCATTTGAATCGTATAAACTATCTTGATGACGAGCGTAGTGGTAATGTACATAAGACTCGTCCAGATACACAACAGGCGGTGGTTTTTCGCAAAAATGGTTGGCACCATAGTCGCAATGTATTTGTCACGGAGCATTGCATTTTGTTTCGCTAACGCAAACCTTTTACTTCGCCCCGTTCGAAACCGACACGAACCAAAAATCGGCGCACAGTACGTCATTCTGACACTATTGCGCGGGGATTGTCGGGGTCGACATCGACAATGTTGTTTTTTTGTTGTATAACAACCACGTCATTTGCGTCCTCGTCAAGCGGCGGTCCCGAACAAAGGACTGTACGAGCGAGATCACTTTTCTTGTCGTAGGAATGCGAGCTGAATGCGAATGTTTGTTGGAAGGTGGCGGGCCACAGCGACGGCTACTGTAGCGTTATATGTGCGCCATACTTCTCTCACAACATTTGTGCTCCGGCCGAGAATACATACAATATGGCAATATGCATCCTCCATGCCTTCATGTCGAAAGTGAGCGTGAAGGCGTAAAATGTGGAGACGTTCTTCTTTAGATAGGCTAGGTGGGCGACTGCGCTTGACAAACTCACAGATCTTGTCGAACTTAGCCGTGGCAATCGTTCGTGGTGGTCGGACCATATTCGTGGAATAATAAATATTGACAGGATGACCTCGATGGTACAGAAACACATGAACTCATACAAATTAATAATTTTGTGACATCGTTTTTCATGACAAGATACAGGATATCAGGACAAAGGAGTCAACTTGACTATCATTCATTTCATTAAAGTAAAATATTTTAAAGGGTATACGTTTAGAAGGATTTGGTTAGTATAGTTCGTTTCAGCTCAACGAGCTGCACCGAAATGTAAATGTATCCCATGTCCACAAGAACTCGCTCCGTCCTTGTGTACGAGTAAACGACCCCTGGTTGATGCCCACCACTTTAAACAACGACATCTCAATATAGCGCTTATGTTATGGTTAGAGTAGTAGATATGCCCAGCTTGCACACCACGTGCATGAAATCAGCCACAACTCCAACTGCGGCCTCTTTACGAGGAATGATCTGTTGCCGAGGTTGCCTCCCAACAGCTCAGGCTGCACATGGTGACGTCTCTTTCGATAGACTTTAAGCGTGATCAAAGATGAGCCGCGGTTGGGAAGGCCTGCGACGTTGTGGCTCGGTCGTTGCCGTCAATCTCCACCTGATGAGTTGTACAACCAAGTGTTTCCCGAAGCGCGTTCTGACACAATGGAGTCCATCGCGAAACAAGATTCATAGCATTTCACATCAATCCATCCAAGTGTACACATTTATCTACATGCGCCTCCGTGACGCCGCGTCGGCTCCGGCGTGGCCCACCTTGCTGGCCCGGTCGCTCAAGGCAGCGTGGCGATGTAGGACGAGCATTGTGGGATCTTGATGATTTTGCTGCCGCCTTCGGTAACTCCCACCGCAGCGCTGGCGTAGTCGTCGTTGAACAGACTCAAGGCGACCTTAATAGCCGAGCCAACAATTGGAATGGCCGACGTGAAGCAGGTTGTAGCCGACGACGTGCAAAAGAGGCCACACTTAAACGGAGTACCGCCAAAGCATTGCGGCCAGCACATGGGGCCGGTGCCGATAAAGGTGGGGGCACATGGAGGGTAGCACAACGCACCACTCTGTTCCATGCCAGCGGGGCATCCCAAGCGAGACACGCCGACACCGACCCCGTACGAGTCTTTGTGGCAAAACTCGCCATCGTCAATCGTACCAGCAGGGCAATTCGGCGAGCAGATGCAGCAGCCGACAGGGTGGAAACCAGTCCGGCACTGGGGGTACCACATCAAACCATTTTTCTCGCACGTGCCGCCGTTCTCCTTCTTGCACTTGTCTTCTTGCCACAAGGCGTAGCCAGCGCCGCGGCCGTACGCGGCGGGCTTTGTGCACGACGCGCCAATATCCGTGAAGCCCACAACACCACCGCAGCCCTTCTTGCGGCAGATGCAGCACCCGACCTTCTCGTACCCTTCCTCGCACGTCGGGTAGCACAGGGCCCCGTACGCTTCTTCGTCCTTCTTGCACTGGTTTTCGAGAACAGTGCCCACGCCGCGCCCAACACCCTTGCGACGACAGACCATTGGGAGCGGGTCAAACGGGACCAGCGCGGCTTCAAGCGCCTTTTGGATCGCGTCCACAACAAGGGCGCCATCTTGCAACGACATGCCGTTCTTCACAATGATTTGGATCGTACGGACAAGGTTGGCACCGTCCTTGACGTGCAAGATGCCAGCCGCGATGGCCTTTTGAATGTCGTGCACCAACTGCGCCCCGTTGCTGGCGTTGAGACCGTCGCGTTGGATCGATTGGATCAGCTTGACCAAATTGAGCGTCGTCGTGGCGTCCTTGCTTGAATTTTGAATGACTCTTTGTAGGTCACTGATGAGTTCGGCGACCGTCGCAGGCTTCATTCCGTCTTCGAGGACCTTCATAATGTCGGCGACCGCTTGGGGACCGTCGACTTTTCCACGGGCGACGATGTCCTTGATGCCTTTCACCAGGTCCTTGCCGTCCTTTACACGGAGAACGCCAATTTTGATGGCGTCTTGGATGGCCGCGACGAATTGCTGGCCGTTGTCGGTGTTGAGGCCCGTCGTGGCGATGGTTCGAATCAACTGGACCAAGCTCGTGATCGTCTTGAAGTCTTCCATTCCTTTGCGCACAAGCTTCTCAAAATCTTGAACGATGTCGACTAGTCTCGTGGCTTCGGCAGATTCGACGGCGGTTGGCTCATCAGGGGCCGACACAACGAGGCCATGGTCGAACTTGACTAACCCTGTAGGGACGGGCTCGTTTTGGGCGGCGACGTTGGCAACAGCGGCAAGGACGAGCGCGTTGACCAAAGCACACTTCATGACGAGAAGAGTGATGGAAGTAAGGTTAATTTAAAAGTGAGCAAACGATGGACGAGTTGAGGTTCCGACACTCGCTTTCGCGACACTCGCGTCGTTCCGACCGAGTTGGTTATCTTGCCAACAGATGGAACATATATCGTGCCAACAGTTAGCAGTGCGACGAGTGAAGCATCCACACAAGCACACAAGGTATCGAAAGCTGCCGATTATATGACGGCGTGTACATG